ACGAAGTGGAAGCCTGCTTAGTCTTTTACAGGACATCCGAGTAAAAAGAGAACTGTTGAGGAATTACGCCTCCCAGGGACTCTGTCGGGCTCACTCAACGGATAAGCTTCAACATCTGCTCAACCAGCTCGGCTTTGCAAATGAAGAAGGGCTCAATACCCACTCAGTCATTTCAACTGAGTGAATAAAGAGTCAGGCTCTGATACCTGCCTGATCAAAACAGGACAATCAAAAGTGTGGCGATGAGTACCTGCCAGGTGCTCTGTTAGGTCCTCTCTACCAAGTAAGACCAACTACCTGTCTGTTCATTTCAAACAGCAGGATAGAAGGTAAAAGTCTCCTCAATATCTGCCTGACACGTATCTGTGTAGGGATGTGAGGGAGAAAGAAGTAAGTAAATGGGATAATTTTAAGGGTAGAGCCACCTAGGGAACCCCTTCTAGCGCTCTGGTAACCACATGGTAGAGGAAAAATCGTCGTGGCCATGAGTATCCAAATGCCATCAGGATCTCCTAGGGAATCCTAACCCTACACAAAAGGGAAGGAAGACATCAGGATGATGTCTTCCAAACAAAACTAGAAGAGATACCCTCTCAGTAGAGTATGCAAAGGGACAATCTCATTCCAACGAAGCTAAAGGAACTGAAGTAGCGAGGGGGCACCTCTACTACATAAGGTAGGACTAAGCCTAGTAAAAACAATCCCCAAGGGGGCTATAGTGGTGAATCCATACTAACTGATGGGGACCCTGTAAAAAGTGGGAAGAGTATCAAAGCATCCAAAGGACCTCTCCAGCAGCTAGGAGTCGGATCTCAATGGAGAAACAAGTGGTAGAAGCATCTAGAAGAGCTGACTCTCTACTAGAGAATCAAAGCTTAAGAAAAGGGTGATGGTAGCATCTAAGGCATGATGCTCCACATCACCAAGTAAGGGCAAAAGAACCAAAGTAACAAGAGAGCACTCTCGCTACTCAGGGTAACGACTCTGAGTAGGAAAAGTCTCACAGTAGTAACACCCACACCAACTAGTGGGACCCTGTGGGAAGTGAAAGTGACCTCAACACATTCATAGGATTAATCTGGCGACTGAGTCTAGCGTATGAATGGTAAGATAGGTCACTAAAAGTAGAAGAAGAACTGACCTTCTGTTAGAAGATCAAAGTTCTCAAAGTGGTGATGTTAGTATCCGGGGCAAGGTATACTACATCACTACAACTATGACAGCTCTAGGTAGAAAGGGGACACACTCACTACCTGAGGATAATAATCATAAATTAAAATCGAACAAAGATCAAAGGGTCACAGTAGTAACACCTACCCTAATTGGGTAGGATCCTGTGAGGAGCAAGAACAACAGAATAAGATTCATAGAGCTACTCTAGTAACTAAGAGTAGAGTACGAAGGCCAAAGTGTGTAAAGAAACCAAAGAGCCGATCTTCCACTAGAAAATCAAAGCTCCTAAGGATGCAATGCTAACATCTGAGGCAAGATGTACTACATCGCAACTAAAGAAACATCTCAAGGTAGTAAGGGGACATACTCACTACCTGAGGATAGTAATCATGAATAATATTGATAACACATCAAAGGGCCACAGTGACAACACTTATCCTAATTGGGTTGGACCCTGTAGGGAATAAAAGCAACACTGACACCTTCATAGAACTACTCTAGCAGCTAAGAGTACGGTATGAATGGTGAGGCAGGTACAGAAAGACACTAAGGAGCTGATCCTCTACTAGAAAATCAGGACTCCTGAGGATGTGATGCTAACATGTAAGATAGGATATACTACATCACAGCTAAGGAAGCAACTCTAGATAGTAAGGGGGCACACTCACTATTGAGGCTAATAATTATAAATAAGATTGATAAAATATTATAGAGTCACAGTGGTAACACCTATCCTAATTGGGTAGGACCTTGTGCGAAGTGAAAGTAACACTACAACATTCATAGAATCACTCTAGCAGCTCAGAGCAATATATGAATGAGATAGTAGACTGCCAAAAGAGGGGAGAAGGGGATTGATCTTTCCTCAGAAAGACCTAAGCCCACAAGGTAGTGATGTTAATCATTCAAAACATAATGTACTATATCACTTAGCAAAGATAATCAAAGTTGTAAAAAATCAAACTTAGATATGTGTGCCTTCATCCTTGAGGCAGACACCAAGGCACCTCAAAGGAGAGGAAAGAAAAAGAACTTTGTGAAACTTATGCTCTTTAGAGAGCATTACCGGGCTCCTCCTGTGACAAGGGCAACCGATTTTGCTCTACTAACAGCTTCCCTCTTTTCGTCACATGTATATTTTTTTTCATTTTTATAAAGGGAATTATGATTGGTTTTGATATCCCAGATCATGTTCGTCACATGAAAAAAATTGGGGAAAGAGATCTAATAGGATCTTAGAAAGAATCTATTCATTGATTTTGATAACCCAGACCATATTCATCTCATGTGAATGAACTGGGGAGCACAATTATAGTGAAATTGATGTACAATTGAAATCAACATCATGATAGAAGATCAACACTACCATATCTAACTAGCATGTGATGGTATGGATCCTGCTTCCTATCTTAAAAAGAGTCTAAACCAATGACTCTAACATCCTTGATCACATCCAACTCATATGAATGGACTAAGGGCTACGTCTATCAGATCAGGACTGATAGGAAGAAGAAACTCAAATATGGATAGTGGATCTCCATCACCATACCTGACTATCATAGGATGGTGTGGACCTAGTATCACCTCTAAAAAAGATCTAAACTAAAGATTATAACCTCCCCGATCACATTCAACTCACATGAATGGACTGAGGGCTACACCTATCAGAGCATGACTGATAGGGAGAAGAACCATACCTGACTATCATGGGGTGGTATGGACCTAGTATCACCTCTCAAAAAGATCTAGACTAAAGATTATAACTTCCCCGATCACATTCAACTCACATGAATGGACTGAGGCCTACACCTATTAGAGCATGACTGATAGGGAAAAGAAACTCAAATATGGATAGTGGATCTCTATCACCCACCTAACTATCATAGGAGGGTGTGAACCCAGTATCACATCTCAAAAAAGTTTAGACTAAAGATTACAACCTCCCCTATCACATTCAACTCACATGAACGGATTGGGGGCTACATCTATCAGATCAGAACTGATAGGAAGAAGAAACTCAAACAGAGATAATGGATCTTTGTCACCACACCTGATCAACATAGGTGGGTTTGAACCCAGTGTCACATCTCTAAATGGTCTAAATGAATGATTTAAACATTCCCTCTCACATTCATCTTATATGAATGGACTGGGGGCTTCAACTATCAGAGTAGGGCTGACAAGAAGAAGCAATTCACTTTCTAATAAAGTCTCAACATCACCAATCCTAGCAAATACAAGATGGTGTGGACCCAGTCAAAAATGATAAATGAGTACATATCCCAAATGAGTTTAGTACTTAACTCTCTTTAATTTTAAAAGGAATCTCAATTTAAATTTACTAACTCAGATCAAGCTCCATACTAGCTAAATCATGACATCTCATTTATATGAGTATTTTTCTCTCTTGAATTTAAATCTAATCCAAAAAGGAATTTAAATTAGAAAAAGAAATTTAATTTTCTTCATTTCTTATATGAGAATAGACTTCCATATACTTTAGGATATCAATGTATAATTATGATTTCAAAATCATAATTTTCAGACTCAAGTATCAAAAATATCAAAAGGATATAGATTTTCTGAGATTTAGAGATTTACTAAAAAGGTAAGCCATTTACTTAACACTTTTGGGCTCTTTGAGCTACTTTCTCAACTTTCATGTGCTTTTCACAAATTTTAATTGCTTGATACACTTTGTGTATCTTTCACTTTTGGCGTTTTGCGCATCTTTTCATTTTTTGTAATTGGCTTCCTTTTTAAAATCTCTAAAATAAAACTATTTCTCAATTGTAAGATCATCTTCCAAGTACAAGAGAAGAAGACTCACTTCTCTTGGACAAGGAAGAATGATCTACAAAATAAATCCTATCTTCTGATAAGAATGAATAACATGATTAAGAAAATTATGAAGTTTTATGCATCAATATACTATAGTTATCTGTGAGATAGAGAATCATAAGATAATAGAGAAAATTTTTACTTCTAAATCTAATTTCAATTTGAAAAAGATTTTAGTTCAAAATAAGAAATATCTCCACCCCTAAGGTGAGATAGAGAGATTATACTCTTTCATGAGTCATCACTACAAAGCTAGTAAAGCTAGAAGAGGTAGAAGAGTCAATCATAATTACAAATCATCATTTTTCTTTTATTGATTAATCATCAACATAAGGGAGAACGAGATCCTTTGGCCCAAGTGCTGGAAGGGAGCCTGTCTTCCCTTCTGAGGTTACAATCATCATTTTTTTAACATATTTTTCTATTACAAATAGAAGTCAAAGGAAAATGTGCTCATCTGGCACTACAACAAAAGAAAAAAAAAATTAAGTGCTAACAAAGAAACTGGAGTGGCAACTGTCAACTTGGTCTTGGGAGGCCTCATCTCAACTGCCTCTAAACTTTGTACAGCTTACTTAATCATCTACTAGGTCTTCTTGGAGAGTGCTATCTGTCACTCTCCCTTAGAATTGTGGAGTGATCTGTCACTACTGCCCTGACTGTAAGTCTGACTATCATCGTGGCTGGAGTCTGAAATCCTCTGCACTATCTGAGTAGCCCTGCTCAAAGGCTGTACTAAGTCACTGACCTGGAGCTGGATCTTCCCACTACCCATAAGGCTCTCCACTCTGTCCTTGAACACAAAATAATCTTCAAGTGTATGTCCAATACATCGGTGAAAGGGGCAATAGAGTGGATGTTCTGTTTGTCCTTCTTCATTTTTTTCTCTTATTAAATAAGAATATCAAAATATCTTTCTCAGCCAAGCATTTGAATATTTTCATTATGCTTTCTCTTTTAAAGGGATATTCTTTATTAAGTCTCTCCTATAAAGATGGCTGACTCTGGATAACTGAAGGTGCTGCAGGCACTACTCTCTTGACCCTGTCCACTCTCAGGGGGTCTAGTGTAACTGGAGGCACAACTGGATGATCTCTAGAAATACTGGCAGCGGCTACACCTGCCACTTGGGGCATCTCCCCCAAGGCTGTCAACTGTGCTGTCATGGCTGTCATAGCTCTGGCCATCTCTGCCATCTGTGCTTGGAGGTTCAGGACCATAGCATATGTGTCAACTGATCTGGGAGATCCACCAACCTCAGGGTCTCCCTGCTCATCCTGGTCTTCGGGCTCTCTCTCATCTGAGTGACCTCTACGGGTAACTACACAAACTCGGTGTACTGGCACCTCCTCATCGGAATCCACTAGTGTATCATCATCATCATCTAAAAAGGCTTGTCGCATCGCCTCTATGTACGGACTCATAGGAGAGGTGATCCTATGAGTACTAGGGGCTAACTCTGTCTTAATCCGTACTGGCGATCTATCTGGGGTAGGCACTGAACCATCATTATAAACCATCGAGACCGCCTCGGACCCGAAAGGAACCACAACCTCCATCTGATATGCTGCCTCATCTGGCTGCTCTGCCTCTGGCAACTGCTCTGCCTCTGACAACTGCTCTGTCTCAACTGCCGGAACTGGGTCGACAGGGGTGTCTGCCTGTCGACGTCTCCAAACCCATCTGGTACGACGAGGTGCTGCACTAGCGACTTGCTACTTTGGGACAACCACCTCTGAACTGACCTGAGGCCGGGTAGACTCCTGCTGCTGTCTCCGTCCTCGACAACGTGGGTTTCGTCCTACCACAGGAGCCACTGCTGGCAACCTAACTACTGGAACTGTCTGCACTGACTGCTGGGGTGTCTGCCCCCTCTGCCAACTATAAAGTCTCCTCGCGGTCTGTCGTCTCAACTGGAAAGTAGCCTGAGAGAACTGTCAGAGTAACCTCTCTTGACTGACAGGCCCTCTACTACGAGCTAGGCGGACGATGTTTCTAATCCTCTGAGAGAGGGCCCGAACACTGGCGTCCCTAGGGACCCTAGCCTGGGGCAAAGTAGTGGTAACAGGAGGGGCCGCTGTAATGCGGGTAACATCCTCCTCATCCCTACTTTGTATCAGTGGAGAGAAGCATCCTCCTTGGATCGCCTCTACCTCAAGAGTTACTATCACCTCTGGGGTTGGTACTGCTGTAACTGGTCGTGGTCTCCGTTGTCTGGGAGCCACCGTCCTCTGAACAAGCTCCTAGTGAGCTATCGCCTCAACCATCTGCTGCATCTCTACCTCGGACGTAGCTAAATGCAACCTCCTATTCTTATTCCTCCGGGCCCTTCTCTCAATGCTGGAGGTGGAGATGGAAGGGACATCTGAACCCACTTCCTGGATGGCAGTGGGAACAGGGACGACTGGAAGTGCGGGGGTCTGCCCGGCAGTCTCGGAATGAGAAAGCCGAGCAAAAATAGAAACCCGGCCAGAAGAGGGCGAAGGCACCTCGGTCTGGGCACCCCTCTTCCTAGTGGAAGCAGGAGGGAAAACCCAAATACGAGGTACATCCGCCAAAATAACAGGAGTAACAACAGCAGCAGGCTGCCGGCGCTGAGGGGCCAGGGCAGCCTGTGCAATAGAAGCGGCAGGCGCAGGTCGCCTGACCGCTGCACGAACAGGTGGAACAACTACAGTAGGATGTCGGTGCTGAGGGGTCGGGGCAACCTGAGCAGTAGGAGCGGCAAGCGCATGTCGCCTGACCGCTGCACGAAGAGGTGGAACAACTGCAGCAGGCTGCCGACACTGAGGGGCCTGGGCAACCTGAGCAGCAGGAGCGGCAGGCGTATGTCGCCTAACTGCTGCACGAACTGGAACATGATGTGGCCTAGGCACTGGTCGCCTAGCTACAGCGCGCACTGGTTGTGCAAGTATAGGAACGGGACGAGCAGGTGCCCGGGCTATCCGCCGAGCAACTGGTCATCCGAAAGGGCGAATGGCTGCGCATCCTCTCCTCTGAGGAGGAGAGAATGTAGCAGCCTCCGCTGGGGTCGGCCCGCCAAGAGTGACGAAGGCCGAGTCAGTGAAGGAATCAAAAGTGATCCCTCCAACTAGCAAACTAGCGAGCAGGGACTCAGGGAGAGTCACCCGCGCGTCCGAACCAAAAGCAAAAGTAACAGAAGGCACGAAAGAAGCCATGGCACTGCTGCCAAGAAAAGAAAGTGAAAAGGTCAGAGATTAGAAATCAGAATTGAAATTATGAAAAATGAATGGGAATAGATTTGATAAAGATAGATAGGAATTGATAAGGAATAGGATAGCCTATAAGACTAGAGAGAAGTAGAGTAGGGGAATTCTAGCTACAGGGAAAGGAACCCTAACTAAAGAAAGGCCCTAACTAAGAGTGGGACAGACCTAATCTAAGGAATACCAATCCCGGAGTACACACCAGAAAGGATAATATAAAATCCAAAAAAGGAGAGAGAAACTGGTCCCACCGTAGTCGCTAGAAACATGTGGACCTCCAAAAGAGAACCGCGCGAACGGGTCAATTGGAAGGGACAAATTGTATCATGCATACGACTAACCATTGAGGATAGAGGCTGTCGCAAACACACCCCGATGGGTAGCAATATACACGACCCAATCACGGGTTTCCCCCATCCGATATAACAATTTGAATGGGGTTTAGTAGATGTGGGACCGAGTTTCCCACAGGCGCAAGCCCCCGTGGTTAATTACATCCAGGCTAGAGCCTGAGAAAACTCTCGATTAAGGATCATACATTATCCCTTCCTAAGGTGGGATTGGCACATATGTATAGACTAGGAAATTCTACTCAAAGGGAAGAAAGGTCCGAAGGGCTGAATCAACATGCGTGGCTCATACCAGCATTCAGAGGCTATAGGGTACTAAAGAGAAACTGAGAAAAGAAAATCAAGCACTCAATCACATGCGTGAGAGAAGGGATGGAGATGGCGTCATCCTGTGACGCGGATAAGTAGAATTTATAGTCCCTGAAAGGAAGGGACATACCTATTATTTAAGGCATATTACGAGATCGAATGTAGTAGCCTCGAATCCTAAATCTAGGTTGGGCTTAGTGCTCTATAAAACACTAAGAACCGTGTCCTAGCTAATGCAGTGCAAAACCTGGACTTATCCCGGCCTGGATTGGGAGAGCCAGCTAACCACCTAATCGTTCTAAAGCCATGCTATCAAGTCAGTTATGAAAGATGGGAGGGTGATACAGTTATTTGGAAATATGACCGATATCTAGAGAGTTTCCTAAGTGGTCCTGGAGTAATATGGGTCAGATGCTCCTAGCTAATGTAATTAAATTTTATTTAGTTGGTTACTAATGCAATGCATGCTAATTGAAATGTCAGCTCATGAATGCTATAGAATTTTAAAAATAGGCTTATAAAAAATAATTTTTTTGAAAAGACTGGGTCTTCGTAGGTCCAGCACTTCATCCTCATAGGCCAGATTATCCGGACTCTACCCGCAGGCAGGGAGATGTCTTATAGCAAGGAAAGAAGAATGCAGTAATATGCATGCGACCCCGAACGATTCCGGCAATTTTCTAGGTTCGTTAAGTTTCTATGTTATTTAAAATTCTAAAATTTTAAATATTAATTACGAGTAGAAGAATTTTATAGTCCTTAATGAGCCTAATGAAATTCAGGCGAAAACAAAAGCGGTATGCAAGAAAGAAACTTAGAAAAAGCAGGTAATTCTACTGCACAATCAGGTAAACACATCAATAGAAATCCAAAATTAATCAACTAAATGGTCATAGGCAAATTGCCCTTATTACAACCCAGACATGCAGAAAATAAAGTGGCCGGGCACCACTGCCAACAACCCAGATTCCTAAGACTATGATAGACGCAAATGACTTTGAGTGAGATATTGGTCTTTAGTCTTCTGGGTGTCTTCTTCTCCTTGGACTCCTTGGAACTCTCCTCTTTGGACTCCTTGGATCTCTCCTCCTTGGACTCCTTGGAAATCTCCTCCTTGGACTCCTTGGATCTGTCGTGGCTTGAATATCCAAACGAAGCAGGATATATTCCCCCAGTAGGGGGGTATTGCTTTTTCTCTTTGATATCTAAAACCATCCAACTCAGTCTTTCAAATGGAAGAAAGACTCTCCCTTTAGGGATTCCCTTCTTCTTTTAGAATCCGAGTTGGATAAGAATATCCCAACTCAAAGTTATTTTCACAACTCTTAACAATTATTACATCCATTTGAAAAGAAAATTTCTAGACTTCCTATATGGTTATCCTAGTAAAAATCCCAAACAGTTATATATGGAAATAAAAAATGCTCAAAATATTGACCATGGTGCCAAGCCATGCTCTTAATTATGAGGGCTAAGCAGCTCCACCTGTGCAGTTATAATTATTAATTTTAGCCCTCATTTTTATTTGGGGGGAGCTGAGCAAGCACCTGCATAAAATATTATTAGAAATCATGATAATGCTCCCCTTTTTTATTAGCATTGAGCATACCACCTGCACGAAAAATAGTATATATATATATATATATATATGCTCTTAACGCTAAAAAGGTAAATCTAACGCTCATCACATCATCCACAGAGTGCAGAAAAAGTAAGCAAACACACAAGCAATTTCAAACAGCATGCAATGAAATCCACAGAAAGCTCTAGCATACAGAAGAAAAGTAAAACCCAGCAGCCTACCATAGATTTAAAAGTGGTGCCCTAGCAAACAATTCTATGTGTGTGTAAGGCTGGTGTGGTTTGGATAGGTCCTAAGCAGGATAGTTAGTTAAAGTTATATAGAGTTCAAGTTTGTCGGGGGCCTAAAAACGATATTTTAGTTGAAATTCAAATATTAGTGGATTACGGTCCATTTTAATTATTTCAGTTTGTTGATCAGTTTTAAGAGCTTATGATAATGATATTTAAAGTTGAAGTTATATTAGCCAATTTTAGAAAGTCCCGGGTACTCCTAGGAACTAGACTAAGGGTCCAAAAAGTCACTATAGGAAAAAGGCTAAGTTTAGGTCTTCTAACACCTTAGAAAAATACTATACCTTAATGCGAGTAGTTAGCCAGGTAGTAGGCTGAAATTGGAGTTTTCTAGGCAAATTTATGAATTTTTTAAGTTCGGGGTATTTAAGGGAATTTCTAAATTTTCTAATAAAGGGCTGATTTTATTGTTTTGCTCCAAATCATCTCCAAATAGATTGGAATCATCCCAAAATCTGAGGAATGACATGAGAAAGTTTTTCAAAGTGTTTGGAGAAAATTTGAAATTTTTAATAATTTTTAATGAATTCTTAGGGGCAAAATGATAAATTCCTCCTATGGTCAAATTAGGGGTCAACCTGATGTTGAATTAGGGATCCCTATTTATCTAAGGTTAATGATCAGGTTCTTGTCCGTTTTGAGGTATTGTGGGTAATTTTTTGACCTAAAATGTATTTATTGTAATTTTCGGAAGGTCTCGAGGCCTTATTTAACAGGTTAATTAGGGTTAGTTAATAAAGGGGTCTAATCAGCCCTAAAAATTCCTAGAAAATTCTGGGATGCTTATGATGTCCATAAGTTCAAGTGTTGATGTTTTCATGTCAATTCGGGATCTATCCTAGTTCCTAGAAAACTTCTAAGTTTGCTAGACGAGTCCTTAATTGTTGTCCTTAGGGTGTTACTACGTTGTAGGAGTTAAGAGTGATGTTTTATCTAACCCTCAAGGTAATAAATGCAGGAGAATACATAAATAAAATAAACACGTCATGTCCTTAAATCTAGGAGAGCCTAAGCTAAGTGCTCGTTGTGCAACCTACACATGCAAGCTACGAACAACAAGAAAATGAAAGCACCTAATGAAGGGATTAGCGAATGGTTGGGAATCAACCATCCACTAATCCACTCCCCCAAGATTGATCTTCACACATAGACTCTACGTTTAAAATTTCATGCGAGTGGGATCTCCAAAAATTAAGATTTAATATATACATGTAATTCTTGCAAATACTCAAAATAGTTATAAATAGCTTTAATTTTTTTTTTTTTGAAAAATAATCTAATTAAAAATATATAACTATAAGGGAGACCCACTGACCACTCTTACACAGTCTCAAAACGATTTAAAAATAATTTGTATCATGAAAATAATTATTATAATAATGAAGGGAATAATAATTAAATGGACAAATAATACTCGAAGACAGAAATCTACCAAAATAGTAAAAATCAGTGGCTGGAAATAGTTTCAAAATAAAATACACATTTTTCTGAAAAGATCGAGGGGTTATACGTCAAAATCCGATTTGAAACGACAAAAATATGATTTTCCGAAGTTTAAATACAAAAATAGGATATTTTTAACATAGTGTTGTTTTGCTATTTTGAAAATAATCACTGACAGACCCAATATTTCTAAGCAAAATCAACTCTAGACTGTACAGAATTCAAATACGAATAAAATAAGGTGTTGTGCATCAAAATCCGACTTAAAACAAGAAAGTTAGGTATTTTCAAAGTTTACATACGATAATTAAATATTATTTAAAAAATAGTGCTATTGGCTGTTTTTAAAACAACTGTAGACAAATAAAAAATCCTTGAGCAAAATCAATTTTAAAGTGTGCAGAATCTAAATACGATCAAAACAAGATGTTGTGCGACGACAGCGGATCGAAAACGAAAAAGTTATAGATTTTTGAATTTTAATGCCCTTAAAAGGTAATTTTGAAATAACTTAAAATAATTTGAAAAATAATAATAATAATAATAATAATATAAATAATGACAAAAAAATGATAATAACAGTAATGATGGAAATAAAAATAAAGATAATAATAATAATAATAATAATAATGATAAATAATAATAATAAAGATAATAACAATAATAATAATAATAATAATTGAAAATAACATTAGATTTAAAATAAAATAATAATAATAAAATAACAACAACAATAAAATAATAATAATAATATAAATAGTATAAATAAAATGATTAAACTAATTTAAAATAATATGCCTTTATTGTTTCTTAAATAACTAAATAAAAAAAATATTTTTAAACAAAATTTATTTTAAAATAACGGAGACAAAAATACGATTAATTCGAGGTATTATACGTGAAAATCGGAGCAAAAATGAATTTTTCTGTGATTTTTTGATTGAAATTAGCTTAAAATAGATTTAAAAAATCAAT